GGGCTAGTGTGGGGGGCCAGACTCAGGCCCAGGCGTCCGGAGGGTCCTGGGGGACGGGTCTGGGGTCAAGGGACTCCCCGGGGCGTGAGCACCCTAGCCCCCGCCCCCTCCCCCAGGGCCGTGAGTCCCCGCCCCCGCCCCCTCCCTCAGGGCCGTGAGCCCCCTCCCACCGGCCCCCTCCCCCCCCGCCCCGGCCTTGCAGAACCACTCGTGGAGCGAGCTCTACTCCTTCGCGCTCTTCAAGGCCATGAGCCACATGCTGTGCATCGGGTACGGGCGGCAGGCCCCGGAAAGCATGACGGACATCTGGCTGACGATGCTGAGCATGATCGTGGGCGCCACGTGCTACGCCATGTTCATCGGCCACGCCACGGCGCTCATCCAGTCCCTGGACTCATCCCGGCGCCAGTACCAGGAGAAGGTCTGGGGGGGAGGGTGCTGGGGGGCCCGCCCCGCCTCCTCGCCTCCCCGGCTTGCGGTGCAGATCTTAGATCGGGGGCCGGCGGGGGTGGGGAGCTGTAGGGGCTGAGGACCCCGAGAGGTCTGTGGCCGTGACTAGCAGGGCCCCGAAGGTCCGGGCATGTTGAGGGAGGGCAGTCTGGAGCCCAGAGAGGGGCTGTCCAGGGGGCGGGGCTCACCCCAGGGTCTCTGGGACAGCTTGGGAGGTGCTGGGGCAGGGAAGGGTCGCTGGAGGACACGCTCAGGGGCTGGGCCCACAGACCCGGCCTCTGAGTGGGGGCAGCCTTCACAGGGCTAGTCCTAGGGCTGGGGGTCAGGGAAGGGCTGAGGGGGCAATGGCCCCAGGTGCTGGCCCTCCTGGACACCAGTCTGTCTGTCCTGCACTGCTACCTAGTGGCCGCTCTGGCTGGGCAGCTGTGAGTGCCCCCCACGGCCACTGCCCCAAGCAGTGCCAGCTGGGTCAGCCGGGTCAGCTGGGCCTGGTGCCAGGAATCCCGGCTGTCCGGAAGCTACGGGCCTCATACCCAGACATGAGCTGGCGCTGCCACCCGCCGGCATCACGGGTTCCGCTGAGCTCAGGGCAGCTGTGTCCGGGCGCAGCCGGGGCGGAAATGGGATGGGGCACCCCTGGGAGCACCATCCTGGGGACAGCAGGGCCTGGCACCCCCGCCCTGATCAGGAGGGCTGAGCCACTAGTTTCTGGCAAGATCTTTGGAGAGGTGAGCCTAGGGGATTCCACCCAGGATCTCGGGGGATCTGGGGGATCCAGTCCAGCCTACTTACTGCAAGGGTCTCGAATCAAGCTGTGCTTCCCTTTCTGGGGGGTCGGGCTGCCAGATAAAATTCAGAACACAGGGGTGACTCTTCTCAGTGTAAGCTCGTCCACACCTTGCCCAGGACGCCTGTAACTACTTCTGTATTATCTGAAATTGTGACTTAACGCGGCCCCAGTGTTGGCTGTCATTGCTGTCAAGGCCGGCGGCCCCGTGCGGGCTGAAGCAGGATGGGGGGGTCCGGAGGTGGAGCCACTGACCACTCCCCCCGCTGTGCAGTATAAGCAGGTGGAGCAGTACATGTCCTTCCACAAGCTGCCCGCCGACTTCCGCCAGAAGATCCACGACTACTACGAGCACCGTTACCAGGGCAAGATGTTCGACGAGGACAGCATCCTGGGGGAGCTCAACGGGCCGCTGCGGGAGGTGAGGCCACCCTCGCTGGGGACCCTCGGCTGGAAATAGGGACTGCCAGGCTCCCTGTCCCAGAGATGGGTTAGCCCACGCAGTGTCGGCGGGCCACGTCTACACACTCTCAGCGGCCGGGAGCCCTCCCGTGCTGCACCGCCACGATGCCCCATGGGTTCCCCCGACAGCCTCTGTCTCATCCCACTTAGCCCGTCTGGGCTCCCTTGCTAGACGGGGGGGGACACAGGGGAGAGGCTGACGGGAGTGGGCGGACCCAGTGTGGTCGTCGGTCTTGACTGTCTGAGCTCTGCCCCTCATGGCCGGTGTGACGTCGGGCAGGGTGCCCAGAGCAGCTCGGTTCCCACCAGCGGGGGGCTTCCGACGACGGGCATGGCCTCTGTCACGTTCTGGAGCCTGGAAATCCCAGACCCAGGTGTCATGGGGTCCCATGCCCTCTGGAGGCTCCAAGACAGGGTCCTTCCTGCATCTCACAGCTCCTGGTGTCCCTCTGCGTGTGGCCATCCCCCCATCCCATCGCTACCTCTGCCGTCATGTGGCCTCCTCCCCCGTGTGCCTGTGTCCCCGCTCTTATGAGGACACCTGTCACTAGGTTCAGGGTGAGGCTACTCCAGTGCAACCTCGTGTTAACCAGTGACGCCTGCAAGACCCTATTTCCAGCCGAGGTCCCGTCCACAGGCACCAGGGGTCGGGACTTGAACATGTGTTTTTGGGGGGCAGAATTAAGCCCACAACCCTGACCAGGTGGTAGCTGGGCGCCTGCTCTGAGCTCCACCCTGTGCCATCGGCAGGGGGCAGGGGCACAGCAGTGACCGCCGGGGGGAGGAGCAGTTCCGGGAAGGATGGGGGATGGGGAAGGTGATGTCTGAGCGAGGCCAGGCGAGCCCGAAGGTGTCCCAGGTGGCAGGCACAGCCGGGGCCGAGGCCCTGAGGAGGGAAAGATGACTCGCGTCCTGCGGACCAGGGCGAGGACTAGGAGGGGGGATGGGGCAGGGGAGGGGGGACGGGGGGGCGGGACAGGTCCTGGGTGCTGCTGCTGCTCGGTGAGGGCTGCCATTTCTTCTGAGGGGCCATTGCCTCCCACAAGGCAGGCGCTGGGCTTAACCTCACACAGAACGTTTCATTGTTCCGGATCGCTCCTTCAGAGAGAGAGAGCCCACAGACCGACCGTAAGACGTATAGAATCCCACAGTCTGGGGGTTTTTTTGTTTTTGTTTTTGTTTTTTAGAGATTTTGTTTATTTGACAGACAGAGATCACAAGTAGGCAGAGAGGCAGGCAGAGAGAGGGGGGAAGCAGGGTCGCCGCTGAGCAGAGAGCCCGATGCGGGACTCGATCCCAGGACCCTGGGATCATGACCTGAGACAAAGGCAGAGGCTTAACCCACTGAGTCACCCAGGCGCCCCCGTTTGGGTTTTGTTTTTTTTAAACTATTCATTTTCAGTCATCTCTGTGCCTGGTGTGGGGCTCGAATTCAGGGCCGGGAGATCGAGAGCCCCAAGCTCCACAGGCTGAGCCGGCCAGCCGGCCCGCGGTCCCTTAGGTTCTAGTGGGGCCATTACCACTAAGCACACTGCACCTCGCCCCCATGGCTGCAAGCCACCACTCCCCGTTCCCTTCCCCCAGCCCCCCGCAAGCCAGATTTGGTAATTATTTAAGCGTTTATGCAATTCCAAGGTTGAATTTCAAAAACACATGCATTCAGAAAATTTCTGGCTTCTATCCTGACCCTCTACCTGATTTGCTCCTGCTGTATCTTCCGTGTTCTTTGTTAACACACAGCAAAGGCGTGCTCCCTCTCTGAGCTCCCTTTGCTGGACCCTTCCTGCTGCGAGGTCCTCCAGGCAGCGAGCCCCCAGGTCTGGTGGCCCCAGGGTCCCCAAGCTCCGCAGGTGGCCATGCATGTGCACATGCATGCTTGCTGTGCTCACCCCGATCTGGGGGCTCATGCTGTATACAGCAGGTGCACATGCATGCTTGCTGTGCTCACCCCGATCTGGGGGCTCATGCTGTATACAGCAGGTGCACATGCATGCTTGCTGTGCTCACCCTGATCTGGGGGTTCATGCTGTATACAGCAGGTGCACATGCATGCTTGCTGTGCTCACCCCGATCTGGGGGCTCACCCATACTTCCTTGTAGGACTTGTGCGGTTGGGTTTTTCCACACATCTCGCTTTGGGATTATCGGTGGATAATTTGGGATTACTGTGGATTCACGTTCATCTTCTGCTCTGGCGCCAAAACGTCTGTTTTTTGCCTCATAACTGCTGGGGCCGCCTCCGGCATGCCCCTTTGTGCTGGGCCGGATCTCCGGACTTCTTCCACGCTGTCCCGTCTGCTCTGTGTGCCAAGCCCCATGGAGCGGTGGGGGCTGGACGGCAGGTCTCAGCGTGTGGGAGGGCTCGCCCCACCGCCCTGCTCTTCTTCTCACTAGCAGGCTTTCCTGCGACTTTTGCTCATTTGTTCTAAATGACCTTGGCTAGTTTCAGCAATTCCCAAGCAAACCCGATGGTATTATCGTTGGGATCTGGCACTCGTGTCCACGAGTGGGGAGAATGGACGTCTCGTCCTCACAGCGGTGAGGAGCTCTGCCTGACCACAGAGCGCGTGCCCACGTCCCGCCGTGCCTCTCGGGGTGTCTGCACGCTCTCCTCAGACGGGTCCGGACATCTCTTAAGGTCAAGCCCTGCTGTCCTGCTCAGCGCTCTGTGCCGGCGTAAACAGGGTCCTCCTGTCTGCTGTGTCGTCTTCTCCGTGGCTCATTGGCACACAAGAGGGCTGTCGGTTTGGAAGGCTCAGCTCCCCCTTTTACTGAAACACGTCTTACCTGGTGTGCGCACTCCGTGGGCGAGCGTGGGACCCTCACGTGACTAACGCTCAGATCGACTGTGGGACGTCCCACCCTCACCCTGACCTCTGCCGCTGCGGAGCCCTTGACTGTTCTTGGGTTTGTGCGCTGATTCTTTGTGTTATCGCTCGCTGTTTGGGTTGACTCCTTGGACCGTTGTGCTTTTCCATGGATTCTTCTGGGTTCCCCTTCTGGGTCAGCATGTTAAAGAAGATAGTAGAGGGATTTGGCGTCATGTTTTCCTTCCCTGTTCTTATGTCTCTGACGGCCTTTCCTGCCTAATCGCACTGGCCGCTGTGGCCAACAGAGTTAACGGGCGGGGACTCAGCACACATCTTGTCTTGCTCCTGTCTTGCGGTCAAGCCTCCGGGGTCCGCCCAGGAAGGAAGGTGCCCGCTTCAGGCTACGGTGTCGAATTCCTTTGGTAGATTAAGAGCTGAGGGTCTGAGGAGGAGACAGCCCCCAAAGGAGGGCGAGAGGGGACAAGGACTTGGGCCCTGTGTCACCCCGCTTCCCACCCTTGCAGGAGATTGTCAACTTCAACTGCCGGAAGCTGGTGGCCTCGATGCCCCTGTTTGCCAATGCCGACCCCAACTTTGTCACGGCCATGCTGACCAAACTCAAGTTTGAGGTCTTCCAGCCGGGCGACTACATCATCCGTGAGGGGACCGTGGGCAAGAAGATGTACTTCATCCAGCACGGCGTGCTCAGCGTGCTCACCAAGGGCAACAAGGAGATGAAGCTGTCCGATGGCTCCTATTTCGGGGGTGAGTGTCCGGGGGCCTACAGGGGTGCTGGTGCAGGTGCGCCCCAGCAGAGGGGAGGAGGCTGGGCGGCTTGCGCAGCAGGTGGGAGGCCCCAGGGCTGGGAGGGCAAGAAGGTGTTGCTTGGAGGCCGAGGTCCTGCTGGGCTGAGGCCGCCGCCCGGCCCTGTGCAGAGATCTGCCTGCTGACGCGGGGCCGGCGCACGGCCAGCGTGCGCGCTGACACGTACTGCCGCCTCTACTCCCTGAGCGTGGACAACTTCAACGAGGTGCTAGAGGAGTACCCCATGATGCGGCGGGCCTTCGAGACTGTCGCCATCGACCGCCTGGACCGCATCGGTGAGTGGGCTGGTCTCCAGGGGCCGTCAGCCCGTGAAGAGGTGGCGTGGCCCGGCCGACGGACCCTCCAGGGCCCTTCCAGTCCCCAGACCCGATTTTCTGACCTGCTCTGGCCCGTGGCCAGATGTGGCCCTGGTCTCCCAAGGAAGAGGGAGTGTGGCGTGTTTCCAGTTGTGCACAACTTCTGCTCCCTTGGGAGATGCTTCTGGAGCACCTATAGTGTGTCGGTCGGTGTAGCTGCCGGACTGGGAGGCTGTCGAGGAGGCCATGCTTGGGCTTATGCTACAGAGGAGGGGCTGGGGGGCTGGGGGGCTTCCTTGCGATGCTGGGTGGAGGCTGGAAGGAGTAGTGTTGTCAGGTATGAAGGGACAAGGCATGTTCTGGGAGTGGACACAGCACAGGCCAAGGCCTGGGGTCCAGAGAGCTGCAGAAGCTGGGAGGAGGGAGCTTGGGGAGGCAGGCAGGGACCAGGCACACGGGACCCCAGTAGCTGTGGATGCAGGAGTTTGGGCTATGAATCAGGAGCAGTGGGGAGCCACGGATGGTGCTAGGCAGGGGAGGAGCCGATAGGATCTGCACTGTGCGAGTGCGGGTAGGTTATAGGAGGGAGACGGAGGCCTCAAGTGGTGGCCTTGGGTGTAGGGAGAGGCCGAGGGTAATGTCAGAAATGGTGGAGAGGTGGAGCCCTCAGGACCCGCCGTGGACCAGATGTCCGAGTCAGGCAGACCGGGCCCCATTGCTGTCCGTGGGAATAAAGAGCTAGAGGAAGAGGGTTGGGTGGCGTGCACGGGTGTTGGAGGAGAGACCGGAAGCATTCCATTCATATTTACATACAGCAGGCACTCAACAGTCTGCTCTATACAGTAGGTGCTCAACATATGTGCAAGTGAAGATGCTTAGATTTGCTTGCTACATGCCGAAGGCTCTCCGACGTGCTTGCGGTGTCTGGCGAGCGCTCCTGGCATGCGGCTGGGCACCCACCGCGGGCGCTCAGTACATGGGAGGGACAGCGCGGGCTTGCTGTCCAGCAAGGCCTGCCTCGTGTGCACCGCACACACTTCCTGCGCTTGCTGTATACTGCGGGAGCACGGTACACGTTTCCTGGATACAAGAAGTGTTCGGGGCAAGCCGGTAGTATACAGTAGGTGTCTCGTGCCTATGCCATGGGTGTTCTGTGTGCCTACTACAAACAGGTACCGGATTAGTGCCTGCTGAATACAGTGGGTACCCGGTGTCTGGTCGCTGTATGTACACGGCGGCAGGTCATGCCTGCTTACCGCACACAGGAGGGGCTCGGTTCTGTCTGCTCTGCACCACAGGCACTTGGTATCAGCCATCGGCAGGAGGGGCCCTGAGCATGCTCGCTGTATACAGGGAGTGCTTACGCGGATGCAGCAGTTTCTTGACCCACGTGTGCTAGTCTACAGAACAAGGGCCCAACACCCGCATGCCCTCCACGTGCTTGCTGTATCCAGCAGGTGCTCAGTGCCTACTGTATACAGAAGGTGCTCCATGCATGCTTATAATCTACAACAGGTGTGTGTGTGTGTGTGTGTGGTGCCAGCAGGTTCATGGTGGCATGCAGGAGGTGGTCTGTGCACACTGGCGGTACAGAGCAGGAGCTGGTACTCGCAGTGGGATGTATAGAACGGACGCCCAGCACCCGCTGGCTGTATGCAGGAGGTGTTCCATGTATGCTCGCAGTATATAAAAAAGGTTTTACTGTACGCAGCAGGCGCTGGGTGCCATGCTCTGTACACGCACACTCCTGCGTGCACGCTGCACGTAGATGGGGCTTCCGCACACTGGCGTCACTGCGCGCCCCCAGCCGCCCCGCCACCGGCCCGCGAGCTCAGCCCCAGAAGCGTGCCCCCGCGCCCCCCCGCTGACGCCCCTGCCCTGCCCCCAGGCAAGAAGAACTCGATCCTGTTGCACAAAGTGCAGCACGACCTCAACTCCGGCGTGTTCAACAACCAGGAGAACGCCATCATCCAGGAGATCGTCAAGTACGACCGCGAGATGGTGCAGCAGGCCGAGCTGGGCCCACGCGTGGGCCTCTTCCCGCCGCCGCCGCCGCCGCAGGTCACCTCGGCCATTGCCACCTTGCAGCAAGCTGTGGCCATGAGCTTCTGCCCGCAGGTGGCGCGGCCGCTCGTGGGGCCGCTGGCGCTCGGCTCGCCGCGCCTCGTGCGCCGCCCGCCGCCGGGGACCGCGGCCGCGCCCTCCGCCGCCGCCTCGCCGGGGCCCGCGCC